TATATATTTTCTTTTAAATGAGCATTTGCAAATTACAAGAAAATTTGCGATTTTATAATTAATATTTTGTTCTTATTAATGATAATTCATGAGCCCACTACAAAGAGAACTCCTATTCCAAATATTAGGAAGGCCACTTTAATTAAAGATGAAGTTGATAATTATAAAGTGTACCGGTTTGATTAGTTCTCGCTGAAAAGTAATTATGAATTTTAAACAGAAAATATCAGTCTCCATAAAAATCAGGCTTCTGTTATAAACTTTTAAAAGAATAATATTCTTTAAGATCTAAATTAAAGTTGTATTTGTGAAGAATGCGGTGGTAGAATAGCAAAACAAAAAATACTGATGAATGATTATTTGGACAGTAAGTAAATGATCGGTTCTTAGAAATAAACTTATTCTCCCCCTTCAATAAATAGACACTCAATGGTTGAGTCTAGTCTTCTTGGTTCATAATTAATCAGTACAATATTAATTAAATTAAGGTGAAAGACAAATGAAGTTTAGTCTAAAGGAGAGCGTAAGAAGATCTACAAAACCAGTTTTATAAGTAATTTAAGCTTAGAATATGATGAAAAAAATAGTAAATGACAGTATTCAAGTGAAGACTAGAAGAAGTTTACAATCAATAGAAAAGCAAGACAATTTATATGACAAGGTCTAAATAAAATTAAAATCTCAAATGATGAGATCAAATAATAATTCTACAATTTAAATTAGAACAAGAACTGATGCATCTACATATCTTTTACCATTATTAACAAAATCAAAGATGCAATAAACATAATAGATAATTCATAAATACGATTCTTAAATAATACTAAAAAAATAAACATAATTGTTGAAAAGTGAAAAAATAAATTAGATTAAACCATTACATTAACGTTTATTATTAACTTATCTGAAAAGAACAACATCTCAACTAAATTCAGTAAAAATATTTAATTTAAAATCAAAATTGAAAAACTGATTATATAATAAGAAATTAATAACTAAAAATGAAATAAATAGAATTAATTCTCATTTCTTCTATTTTTTAATAGTTTTTTTAATTTTTAATGATTCTTTCTTGGTTTTTGTTTATTAATTGTTAAATTCTATGAGGATACATGACATATTATCTAAACCCCAAACAGTAGTTTCATTCATTGAAGGAGCTAAAATTTCATTCATAATTGATTTTAATTTCTATTCAGCTAAGAAAAAAAATATGAATATAAAAATACATGGCTATTTGTTATTTTTATAAATCTTTTGTGTGAGTTATTCTCCATAATCATTTAAACCTTCCCAAATTCCATCACAAGCCATAAAAATCATTTCTATATTTTTAAAAACTCTAATATCTGGAATAGCTATAACCATATCATCTTTATATTAATAATCTCCAAATGCTCTTGAAAGAGATAAAGCACCACAAACTCTTCCATCAACAACAAATCCTCCTGCTTTGCAAATTCTTGATCTTTCTTTTGCATGAGTAGGTTTATGATCAAAACTCATAATAATTGATTTTCCTTTTTAAATTCCAACTGATCTTGAATCGCCTATATTTGCACAATATATTTTATCTTTAGTTATTAAAATTATATTGGCAGTTGTACCACTATCATCAATAATAGAATTTCCAATCAATTCTACTATTTTCTTTGGTGTTAGTTTAGCTAATTCACTAACATCAAATAATTGTTAGTTGTATTATTTTTTCTAATTTTTAATGTTTTTTATCACTTTGATATAATTCAATTATACCATCTTCAACAGACATTGAAAATCTTTCTTCTACTAAAGCATTAAGTCCTTCAGGTGTTATTAACCATTTGTCAATATCTATAAAAGATTCTAATAAACTATCTTCATATTATTTATTTCTAAATTTTATATTTGATTCTAAAAAGCGCGGTAAATATTTAGAAACTACAGATGAAACTTCAAATCCTCCATGCCCATCTAAGATTCCAAATAAATATTCTCCTGTAGATAATTTTTCTTTGATAATTGCATCTTCCTAAATGAAAGATTAATTAATCGATTACCATAGATTTTCTCCATCCTTACATAGAAGCGCAAGTAAATATAAAATTATCACTCTATCCTGATTCTATTGTGAATTTGGTTTTAGGTTTTGTTAAATATATATCATCAATACACATTATTTTAGCTTAAAATAAATGATTTTATTAATATTTGATTGTTTTCATTAAAATTTATAAAAAAATTTAAACTCTATTGAAGTGTTGTGAATCAAAGTTAATTCTAAATTATTTTGTAATTTAAATGTTAGTTTTACTCCATTAAATCTATGAATATTTATAAATAAAATCCAAATAATATTATAATTTATGTAATCTAATCAAACACCGATTCCTGGATCAGTAGAAATCATAAAAGGTAGTGATATTGATTTATATGAATATTTTAGATAAACTTTATTGGATTTCAGATAGATAAGCTCCTCGAAATCAACCAAATGCTTTTTATTTCTGTATTGATTAGGTATAATATATCTCTTAATATGTTAAGGATCTTGTATATGAACCATTTTTTGCTGATTTTGGTCCATTAAATTTGGGTCATACTTATCGATTTGTAACAGAATTAGAAAAATTGCTTAGTGATAAGACATATTAGCAATATGCTATTTATCATTATACAAGTTTAGATAGTGCAAAAAGAGCTAATGCTGCTTATTTAATGGGTGCATTCTAAGTTATAATACTTAAATTGAGTGCAGATGAAGCATGGAAACCTTTTCTAAATGTGAAACCAGCATTCTAGGATTTCAGAGATGCAAGTTATGGATAATGCACTTATAAATGCACTGTAGATATAATATTATAGTTAAGATCCTTCATTGTTTGAGAGGACTTGAATATGCTATAAAATTGAAGTGGTTTGATGTTAGAAAGTTCAATCTTAGAGATTATGAATTTTATGAAAGAGTAGATAATGGAGATCTTAATTGGATTATTCCAAATAAATTTATAGCCTTTTCTGGACCATCTGCAACTTCAAAGGATGCAGATGGAGTATATTAATATCATTATAATTATTAGAATCGTACATTTACTCCAGAAGAATATGTTCCTATATTCAAATAATTTGGAGTGACTTGTGTTGTGAGATTAAACAAAAAAGCTTATGAAGAATAAAGATTTATTAAAAATGGAATTAAACATGAAGAAATTTATTTTCTTGATGGTTCTGTTCCAGGAGATGATAAAATTTTGAGATTTTTAGAAATCGCCGAAAGAGAAAATGCTGTTGCTGTTCATTGTAAAGCAGGATTAGGTCGTACAGGTACATTGATAGCTGCCTTTGCAATTAAACATTATAGGTTATATATTATATTTTATTATTTTTAAGATTTCCAGCTCCAGATTTTATAGGATGGATTCGTATATGCAGACCCGGTAGTATTTTAGGTCCATAATAGATCTTTTTATTGGTAAGTTTATTTATGAATAATTTATTTAAGCAAAAACAAAATTGGTTAATAAGTTTAGGAAAAGATTCACCAATATGGAATTAAGTAAAATAAATTGCAGCTGAAGTCAATATAGAAAAGAGATTAAAAGATTTGCAATTAGGACCTATGAGTGAAGGTAATTAAATAAATTTAATTAATTCTAATAGCTGATAAGAATAAAGCAGAGAAAGGTGATTAAGATTAAGCATAGACATTAAATAAAGCAAAATAAATGAAGTAAAAAAGATTTCATCTATATTCAGTTAAGCTTCCCCAGGGACTAAAAAATGAAAAAGATAATTTGTTATTTTATAAAAATAATCTATCAAATGTATTTTAATAAAGAACATAAAAGGAATAAGTAATATAAATAAACATATTTAATTATAATCAATATACAAATACATTCTTAATAGACATTTTATTATTATTGACTAAAAATAAATTATTATTATTTTTGCTAGCTGCTTATTACTTTTTAATAGTTTTATAAGCATCTCCAATGTAAATGTCTTTCAAATCAATGGAAGCAGATTTTTAATTTTATTTACCTTCTTATATTTAAGATGCTCTTTTTTAGTTCATAGAATAAGTTCGTGTAGATGAGCTTGGAGCTTTGCTATTTTATTTAGATAGTTTAGGTAATTCAAATTTTTATAATTAATTTTTACGAAATGATGAATTTGGTTGTTGATAAGAATTTAGATAAGTTTAATACGAATTAGTATGGCAATGTTAAGAGGTGTCAATGTTAGATTCTTGTTTAGATTTAGAAGGATAAGTAATTGATGAATATTATTTTTAATCTGGTTCAACAGTTTGATTATTAGATTAGTTGGATACTCCTTAACCATCTCTTTAATCATTAATAAAAGATCCATAATAATAGCTTCCATCTTTATAGGTTAATTTCCCAGTTCCATGTTTTAAATCATTTAAATATTCTCCCTAACTAAGAATAAAATTATTACTTCATAAATGATACCATTTTTATTTACATATCTTCCATATCCATGTCTGAATCCTTCTAAGAATTATCCTGAATAAGTAGAGCCATCATTCCATCTATATTCACCTTATCCTTATGGTTTTCCATAAAAATAATTCCCAATATATTTATCACCGTTTTGAAATTGTTCTACACCATATCCATTTTTAACTGAGTTTTTCCATTAACCAAAATAAATATCTCCATTCCATTTATGTTCTCCTAATCCATCCTATTATCCATTTACCCATTAACCAATATAATAATCATCTTATATTCCAATCCATTTTCCAAATCCATGTTTTTAAGCATTTGACCATTAACCAATATATTATTCACCATTACTCCATCTAAAACTCCCTTCTCCATTTGGTTTATTATTCAGAGTTTGTCCATGATACATACATTTATTTGAAAAGATTTAATAGGATATATTATTCTCGTGCTCTATATATGTTAATTTCCCATTTATAACTAATTTAATATCTGCATTTTGGCTTTTTACAATTATTTAATTGTCCTTTTTTGTTAACGAATTACATTCAAAGAGTTAAATTGGTAAATTATATTATTGAAGCACATTAATCAATTAATTTTACAAAATTTCTTAAGTTTCAATACAAAATAAATTAATAATGTCTTTTTGAAATTGATCAATATTAGAAATCAGTGGGTATTTTTTTTAAATTCTTTACACCTGTAATTAGACATTTTGAATTAATTGATATTCTTGGAGCCTAGAAATAAATGATCATATTTACATTTTTTAAAGTTTATAATAATTAATAATTAAATTAATATGATGTAATTTATAAAAAATAACAAAAATTAAATCAAACTAATTTAGTTTAATAATAATGTTTATAGATTGTAGCTTGATGTGATTTTGCAGTATTCTTCGATATTAAATCTGGAATATTTTCATTTTAAAAAGTTACATCTATAAATAATAAGTATATTATTAATACAGTCAATAAATTCTCTTAATTTTTAGAAATAGCTTTTGCGATATTAAATATCAGTGTCAATTCCACAATGACCAACATTTTCTGGAATCCATAAATCATATAAATTATTTGATCTATGTGCTAATTATTTGGCATGTTCAGTGGAGATGATTTTATCATTTGCCCCATGCATAATGAAGATTGGACATCGAATAAGTTAGATCCTATCAATATTTGGAAATAAATCATAATAAGGAGTATCTTCAATTTTATTACTAATGACTCTTAAGCCAGAACTAAATCCACTTTCGATAATCAATCCACCAATAGGAAATTAAGGATTAGATGACAAAGTTATACTAGGACCTGAACCAATGCTATAACCATAAACAATGATTTAGGTAGGTTTATATCCTAATTAATGAACCAAAAAGTTATATGCAACTTGAATATTACGAATAATGCTTATATCATTACTTTTCCCTTCACTTTGACCATATCCACTATATTCATATGCAAAAACATTAGTCTTAGTGTAATTGACAAGTTCTAATAAAATAATAATATTACTAATTAATTTATCTATCATAGTTCCTAAATCACAAGCATTTCCATGACTAAATAACATTACATAATCACTATTTCTATCTAAATGAACTGATGCTATTTATTAATTATTATTTTAGTTTAGAAAATAAGATGTTACTTTGCATGTATCTGATCTCACTATTATTTCTTCTTTTTGATGAATCTTCCTATTCGGTATTTTAATGAAATCATATTCTGGATATTATCTTCACATAAATTCTAAAATTACTCAGGGTTTCTGACATTCTTTCTTTTTTTATTCAAACACTATTAATCATTAGTAAGAGGCAACTATTATTCAGAATTATTTTGTTGATTGAAATATCCACTGTCATCAAAAGAATAATATCTTTTTTTTTTATTGACTTTTTATTTTTTTGACTCTCTTAATCTAAGTTCATATGTTGCTTAAGGAGGTCGAAAGGCAAGCATATGAACAAGCCTATTTCTAAGACCACACATACTAAAAGATTGAAATATACCTGTTACAAAGTGTTACATCTATATAGATAAATAATAACTATTATTTTAATAATAAATTTTCATTTCTTTAGACACTTAATAGATATAATATATATATAAATAAGATCAAAACTTATTGTTAATCTTCTAAATGGACTGAGTTGAATATAAAGTTGATTTAGTTGATGGAGTTGTAGTTAAACTCATTTTCTTTTTGAATGCATACCTCTCTGTCTTTAAAGGAGACAATCTTGGAGATGATATACTATTTATATCGAAAGATAATATTGAATTCTAATTACTCGTACTTATCCTTGTTTTAGTTGACATATTTGTTAGAATACGAGGCTTTTTATTTATTGGTGTAAGATATTTAATCTCTCCTTATCCCTTTTTACTCATAAATGGTCTCAATGTACATCTTTATTCTTCTTTAGGATTTGATATCTTTGTAAATTACTGATTCACTTTTAATAACTCTGATACTAACTTAGATCTTTATTCGAATGATAGACGTGTATTCTTTATTGTTGATATAATTATAAAAGTGAATAAGTACTTTTATTTGCCATATCAAATCTGTTCTATTTGCACAATAAGACAAATATCTTAATAAATTTACAAAATCAGTTGAATAATAATTCTCATCTCCTATCTCTCTCATTTTTCTCATCAATGTTCTAAATGCTATTCAAACTAATCACTTTATTATTACTTTAAGAAGTTCCTTCATCCTTAATCACCTATTTGAACTCCTCCAAATCAATGCATTCTTAAATTACTATTATACTATGTACTATTCCCATCTCTATCAGTCATTTCGAAAAAGTCCTTTAATAATCGTAAATTCACAGGATAATTGTTTTTTTTTAACATTGAATATAGTTCATCCATTTCAATAGTGTCTTTACATAATATTTTTATCATTTACTTGAGTGATCTCTATCAATCAAACGAAATGTTTCTGTAACTATTTCATCATCAAATAATTCCTTCTCGGTTTTTCTATATTTCTCTTTTACTTTAGATGAATGTCTAGAATTGAACCAGCTCTTAGTTTCTTAAAAATGCAACACCTTCTCTGCTGGTGGTAATATTTACATTAAAATATATATATATTATTTTTTTTCGTTCTTATTTTAAATTATATTTTGGCATAACCGATTCCTCTTTTTAATTATTAAAGAATTAGGTTGTTTTTGATTACAATATCTAATTCAAACATCTGAAATGTAAGATTCATCTTTTACTATCTTTGGCAACGTTCTAAAACTATCCTTTGGTATATTATTGTTTTGATGGTTAGAAGCACTCTCAATCTTAACATTTGGACTAAACGATGAATTGTTTAACTAGGATATTCTTATATTATCATAATATTCATACACTTTATTCTAATTAGAAAATTAGTAATCCCCTTTTTATTATTAAATCTACATTTTCTATTTTTGTTGAGTATTTTATAAAGGCATCTTTCTTATAGCATTTTATTTATTCATTAACATTGGTAGATCAGTTGAATTTCTTTTGATATTTGTTACTCCTTTTTATTATATTACAATTTTGTTTGGATTATTTATATTCTATAATTAAATCAAATCCTACTTATGCAATCTAAGAACTTTTCGAAGAACTTCTCATTTGCTTTTCCTTTTCTTCTTTATCTTTTTTTGTCCCTTCAGAACTCTTTATTTAATTTTATTCATTTGCATTTGCTAATTTCAATGCTTTATTAATATTTATAATTTTACATACCACAAGCCTTTGCTAATTTTTTTAATTGTAATTTTCTATTATTAAATGTACCAAGAAATGATATTTAAGAGCTATTATAATTATTTTTTATTGGGCCTCCTTTATAAATTAAATCAAATCCTCCTATTTATTCTTCATTTCCTGTTAAAATCTTTTCAAGATCAATTATTGTAAAAACATCATCTAGTAATCCACATTTTAATTCGAAATCAATAGGAGTATTAGATGTCATAGAAGGACTTTAGTTAATTTACTTGTTTAATACCTTGCATTCACTTCTAAAAGCCAAGGCTTTAGTTGAGAATCAAATAAAATATCAAATCCATAGAGTTCAAAACAATGTTTATCATTAAGTATGATTTTTTGAACTGCTAATAAAGATTTAATCATCAATTATTAAACATTATAAAAACATTCTTATACCTTATCCTAACCATATTTAGTCATAAGAAATAGTTTTAATTTTTATAAGTCCCATTTACCACCTAGTTTTTCATCATAATTTTCTGAAGTTTTTTAGATAGCTACATTAGTTAAATGAACATCTAAATATAAAATATTAGCAATTTTACATGTATTAGTAATATCTTCATTATCATATCTATGATGAGTAAATCTTGCAAATCCTGTACGATATAAATATAAAGTCAAAGGGGAATATGAAGTGCATAATAAGTATATTCTAGTATCAAACTTTTTGCCTCCTATCAAAAGAGGATCAGCAATATATCTTTAAACTATATATGATTCTGCAGAAGGATTTTCTGGATTAAATTTCACTTAATTCTTCCATTAGGAAATCTATTATATTTTATTAAATAAGAATATCCCTCTTCCTTATGACTTGCCAATCTATTTAATATTATTAATTTTAAATATGTACTGGCTTCATTATCCATGCAGTTTTATTGTCACCTTACTTTTTAAATTCTTCATTAAAGATAGGATATTCACTTGGCAAATGGTAAGTCAGTGGAAAAAAATTATAACTAAGTCGTTAAATTACTTTTATTACGTATTAGCTTCCTCAATTTTACCATCTTTCTCTAATGTTCTTTTAAATTTCTTAAGATTTTTTATCATGAGATCTTTACGAGTTAACTAAACAGAATAAATATTCATAGATATACCTCATAATGATTACGAAAATGATTAATTTTTTAATGAGATTGCAAATGAATATGATCCATCACTTCATGAATCCATTCTTTTTCAGCCCACATTATATCCCAATCGTCACCATCAGTTTCTTTCCAATTTCTTCTCTTAAATGCCTTTCATTATTTATTCATTCAATCATACTTCTAAGATGCAATTTCTAAAAGATGTTTTATATTTGATATTAGTACTAAAAATTAGATATTAAATTACAAATGATTAGCATAATTTTCTTTTTTAATGTATTTTCTAAAATATTCTGACATTATTGTATGATTAATATATATTTTATATATTTAATTATCATATATTAGAATCAAATGATATCTTTAATTGACTTTTAAGTTTGCTCAAACATCTCAACTAAATAAATAAATTAAAAACTTACAAATATTTATCATTATCTGTATTTTCAGAATCACTTTCAACTTATGATAATTATTAAATGAATTTAGTGATTGATTGGTATTAAATTTAGTTTGATTTTCCTCTTTATAGTTATCAATATGTTGATTGCTTTTTAATTATTCTAACTCTTAACTCAAAGCAAAAAAATGTTTTCTTAATTCGACATCAGGAGAATCTTTAAATATAATCAGAGTTTCATAAGCACTAATTTTAGATCTCATATCTTATAATTTTTCTTCAAGAAATGGAATTCTATCAGCAATAACTCTATATTCAACATTTTAATTTTCAAGTTTATCAATTTTTTACCAATTATGGTAATTTAGGTCTTAATAAATTTAATCTTTTTTGTATCTCATTTGTATTTAAATTCTCATATATAGGGTTGGATATCCTTTTTATAATAGAAAATGTCATCTTTTTATATTATCTTCTAATTTTATACTATCTTAAAATTTGATACCATAACTATGAGGATATTGTAAATTATTCATTAATTTAAATTTTATAAATTATATAATTTCATAAACTTATGCTCAGATCATCAATTTATTGTAATTATTAGTTTGTCTCTAAATTCTAATGTTTTCTATAATTGCTATGATACTTCTTTAAATGACCAAGAAGTAATGTATGAGATTAATAATCTTTAGAACAAAGAAAACAACAAAATATATGATAGTTTTAGCAATGCTTCTTTAAAATGTGAGGAAAGAATACACTACTAATTCCTATAAACTCACATGATGGACATTAGAACATTTCAGATGAATTATCTTTTGATTAAATCTGTTTTAAATTCTTTATACTCTGAACAAATAATTTAGTTATTGCTCTTAGATACCTAAACTTATTTTTACTATGGTATGCCTTTATATACTCTATATCTAATTAAAGTGTTTTATTAGTTAAAGAATTCAACTATCTAAATTTCTATACAATCATATTAAGTTATTTATAACATTATTCTGGAGATAATAATCCTTTGGGAGTCATCTAAAATAATTGCTATAGTTTTATATCTTCTTCACTTTATAAAACTGTATCTACATAATTTGTTGGTTTTAATGATTTTCTTCCTCTCTTTTTTGGACCATCCAACTATATCTTAGATTCCTCTAATTATTCAAATTTCTTGCTCTATTATTATTATTCACCATCACTTGATGTTGCATTCTTTTTAAATAAAATGTTTGTTAATAATTATGTGCATTCCAATTACATTTCTAATATCTTTTTTAAAAGAATTTAGGTATCCTCATTCATTTTAATACTATAATTTGCATTTCTTACTTTAATTTTATTTTCTAGATATAATCTAAATATAATATTACATTTTTTTTTTATTATGAAAAATAATATAAAACCAAAATTAAAATCAAGATGATAATTTTTATGCTAAAATATTTCTCTAAATAACATGATCTTATAATTATTCTTTTTTATATTTCTCCAAAAATTCTAATTCCTATTTTATTTTATCATTTTTCTAAGTAATTTCGAGATTTTTTTATAAAATTTTATTCTACTTATGTATTTTCTCAATCATATTTTCCATCTATTTCTATTTTGCCAATTTAAATCTATGTTCATTCTTCTAAGATAAATTATGCTTTCTCAAATCCAAAAGAGATTAATGTCTTAATTATTATTATTATAAATAATAATACCTTTTTATACCTCCTTCTAATTTTTCATCAGTTTCTTAAATTTTAGAACTTAATTCTTCAAATCTTTTTTAATCTAAAGATTCCTAAAATTATTCAATTCTCTTCATTATTCTACTATTCTTTAATGATAAACTCTTCTATTATTTCAACTATGAAATTTCATGTTTATTAATTTATATCTAAATATCAACAATAAAAATTCACTTGTCTCTAAGTTGATTTGCTAAAATAAGTTTAAACATTTTAATTCTCTTTTTATACATATGATTCTTATAATTTCTTTTATTTCTCTTCAAATATTTTTAAGTTTTAACGATGTCTTTTTTTATCTTACTCCTATTTTTTATATAAATATTCATTCATATAATCTGATTTCTTTTTTATTGAATCCATCACTTAATCTATCATACTCTATTCTAAATTCATTTACATTTATCTCTTTAACTATCTCTCTCTCTCCTTTTCTTCCTTCTTTCTTAATTAATCTAATAATTCTTCTTATGCCTATTATAATTATTTCTATTTTCTCTCTTAATGAAGATTATGATCTTTCTCTAACTCTTAAACCATCTTTTTATGTTCCTTATATTATGTTTATTCTTCTTTCTTTGCTTTTTAACAAATCTATTCAACTTTTAAATGATTTCTCCTTAATTTCTTTCTTACTAATTCTAATTACTTTTATTTTAATTTCTCTGCTTTTTTATAAATTTATGGAGCTGTCTTACTATAATATTCATCCTATTTATTCATTTAATCATGAACTAAATTTAAAAATCTAAATCATATTAACATTTTTATTACTTATTGTAATTCTCTTAAGCTTTAATTAGTTTTTTATCAAAAAGTTCTTTCTTTTGAGTTGCACTTAAAATAGTTGAATGAAGATCTTCACAAGATTACTTTTTTATATCATTTTATTCAATTAATATAGATTCATCCTTAAATTTAATGTTTTTAGAATTCATTTATTTAGAAACCTAAGATTATATGTGTTTTATTTAATTTCTTTTTTTTAAGATGTCATTCAATATTTTGTATTTAATTGTTACATATTATAAATATGATATAAGGTTCTATAATGGATCTTTTCGTTTTTGATAGAATTCTTCATAATCTTTAACTTGAAGATCCTATACATGCAAATTTAACATTTTCATAGCTGTTTGAGTTCTTGGTGAATTAGTATCAAAATGCATTCTAAAAACAGTTAATTGATTTGGATTTCTAATGATATTATTTTTTTAGTCTGCTTCTAAGAAATTAGCTTCTATAGCTGATTTCAATAAGGCATTAGAAATTGTTGGAAAACGTAATTATTTATGAGTACCCAATAAGTTTTTGGGACTTGATTCGCTATTCTATTAAAATGAACTCATAGATCCTTATTTTGTAATCAGTATATCACCTGTTTCGTTTATATAATCGATCATAATAATATTAATTTTTATTGATTAATGTCTTTTTAATTCCTTAAAATATGTTTTAATAATGATCTCAGAAGATTAAGAATTTTAAAGAGATTTTTGTTTTACAATGTCTAATCAAGTGAATTTTATAGATTAGAAGAAATAAGAAATGAAATGCTCAATATAAAGATTGAAGATAAAGAATAAGTTAAATAAACAGCTGGAACAACATCTTGGGTCTTGTATTTAAAAAAGAGATAGTAAAAAAAATCAAATTGGTATTGGTGGTGATCCTATATTATTTTTATTGATTATGTATATTTCATAAGAAACAGGAGAATATATTATAAAATAATAAGAAAATATAAACATATAATAGATATCATATAACAGCTGTCATTTCTATGGGATTGGTTTTCTAACTAAAATTAATTATTTTTTCCATTTTCTTTCAGGTATATTCCTCCATCTTTTGGTAATTACTTTTATCATAATATTATGAGGCATTTAGAGAAATACTAAAATAATACTGACTATCAGTGCACAAGGGAGAATATGACTAATATATTAAATTAAATTTCTTACACAATCAATCCACTAGCCACTATCTTCAGTAATAATGAGATTACATTTATAAATGGACATAATTTAACTATTTTTTTTTTGTTTATTAAAGCTGCGAAAAACAAAACCTTTTCCCCAATTAAAAGTACATCTGAGAATATGAAGATTTAAAAGGCTACCATCATTTCATCATACCAATTTGATTTTAGAGTTATATAAATGATAGCACATCCAATAAATAAAAATACAAATCCAATTAGATTACATAAGATTAAACCCTTTGCAAATTTCAATGTCATTTTATCACCATTTGTTAATACATATTTTCCAGCTTTCCCAGGAATTTATGTAGGGTTCTTTGTTTCCCCTTCTTAAAATTCCTTGTTTTCTGAATCCAAATCCATATTTGTTTAACCATCTATTACAATTGCTGGACCTTCATTTAATTCTTTAATATTAACTTCCATAGTTAATGTTTGTTAAAATACAATTTATAATTATTATTCTTTTTTAATCACTATTCTAGAACCTATTTAAATTCATATTTCATTAACATTTCATTCTAAATTTCACTGTGTTTATGAATTTATCATATTTTTGACTAAACATTTATCATTATACATCATTTCTATTATCAATTCAATTAATTCAGTTAATTTTACATTTTAATTGTAAATCTTTATTTTCATATTTTATCACTAAGAATAGGTTCACAAATATTATATAAAGAAGTTATTTGCTGAAAATAAAAAAATAAAGAATTTAAATGATTAGAAATTTTATATATTTCTAAAAATGCATAATGTGTCTAAATTTAGTATAAGATAGATTAATAAATGTTTTCTTAAATTTTGGGCAATTATTAAAATAATTATTCTTTTGTATTACAATCATACACATTTTAAATAATCTTCTCCTTAATTAATGAAAGGTTTGAAATGACTTGTTTCATCAACAATCCATTCAATATTATTTGTAATCATCATTCTTCTTTCACCTCTTTTCATGTTCCTCATTAAGAAAGGTTATTTACAAGATTTACATATTTCTTAATTACATCCTCCATAAGCTGGTAATATTGAAATGAAACAAGCTTTATGCCAACATGCAATCTAAATTAAATTAATAAATTTACTCTATAAATTGGTTTCTTTTCTGGTTTATGATGAGAAAATGTCTAATGCAATTTTAATAATTATTCCTCTTCTTTTAATTGTTAGAATTTGCAAAAAACTTATGATTCTAAATCAGAAACTTTAATTCCTTCTCCATTAACAATACTAGATACAACTGAAAAGAATTTATCAAGATCTCCTTCAACTGAAACTGATTTATCAAAAAATGACATTGTTACAACATCAGAAGCACAAATAGCTAATTATTTAGCTGCATCATGAAATACTTTTTCTAAAGTTGAAAATATAAAACCCTAAATATAATAAGAATTAATTTACATGTTTTCCGAATAAACTTCTTAAATGATCTTCATATTTAAAGTCTTTAGCCTTTAAGGATAGAAACAAAGCAGATTTAAATAAATTGTATCTCTTATCTTATCCTAATTTGTTTTATTGACTAATCACATAAGCCATTTCTAATCTTTGATATATTGTATGTAGAAATCTTAATAAAATATAAAGATTTTATGTAATATATGTTGTTGATTTAACTCTTGGTTATAAATTCAAAAATAAACCAGGAGATTCATTTTCTATTTCTGGAATAGATGTTGAAGCATCTTCTGGATTATAATGAATATCATAAATTTCAAGTTCTTATATTTCATTTTTCAATTTTGTATCAATTAATGTTAATTATGATATTTACATGGGTTTCATGGAAACTTAAAAAAAATGATTAATTAATTTAATCATTAAAAATGTTCCATTTCTTTTATCTAGAGAATTATTGCCTCCCATAATTTATAGATAATGTATTACAAATTAACCACATTCTTATAAAATTTATTCATTCCCCATCCATAACGAAATTAATGGTTAAAAACGTATATTTACTTAATTTGAAGGAATCAATGGCATTTATTTAGGTAATGAAGGTTTAATATTAGTCATTTAAGCAAGAGAATTCAAAAATGAATTTTCAAATGTATATTAGATTTAATCTTATTTTTTTTTAACAAAAACATGTTCTTTTGTTCCTAGATGTTTGATTAATACATTTTTAGCATATTCTTCAATTTCTCTAACAAATCTTTATCCATTGATAACTAATTTATCATTCTTTTTAAAATAAAAAGATCTATGATCAAGAGAACGATGAAAATTATTTAATGAAACATTTTCCCAAATTTATTTAGCTTTATTATTTCTTGCTGAAATAAGTTCATTTAATTTTTATTTAACTCGTTTAATTAAGATTTTTGCACTTTCAGTAGATTTAGTTTAAAATATTTATAGGATTTCATTTTAATCTTAAGTTTAATTTCTATATAATTATTACAAAATTCTCATATCAATAACTTTAGTAATTAATTTAGGATCTTCTTTATTTCCATCAATTATCTCTTATAATAAATTAATGGTTCTTTTAATTTATTAAATGTTAACATCAAATTCAAATCTTTCATCTTCACTTTTAAATAATTATTCTTCAAAAGTATTTTTTCTCATAATTAAGAAGGATTGATCTTCAGAACCAAAAGGTACTGATACCCAAGAATGATTTAGAATTTCTGAATTATTGTTTACTTTAGCATATCCAATAGGCATTCTGACATAAGATCTTGTTACTCTATCTACTTATGCAAAATCTGTATCTTTTAAGGGTTTAAAAAGAGGTGTTTATATTCTTCTAGCAATAACTCTAGTTGATAACATTGATCTTATATCATCAATATATTCAGTTTCTAACCATTCTTATTAATTTATTAATTCCATCACTTCCATTTATGTAATTATACATTCAGAATATAAGTGAATAACTTTCATGAATTCATTCATAAATTATTAATAATCATTTGGATATTATTAAATAACTCTCATTCTAAATTTATCCCAAAACAGTAATTCATTCTTAAAATAAAAAATGTATAAATTTACCATATCTACAACACCATTCTTATCAAGTAGTTTTTAAAAGTAATTTCTATTTTCTTCTATTTTTTTTTTTGGTGGAATAATGTCATGCTTCTTTTTAAAACTCTACAAGAACTACTATTATAATTATGGTTCATTGCTAAATAAATCTAAGATGTGGTCTTTATTTTAATGTCCATCTAAATGTCCATTTTATATTTATTTTAATATTGTCTCTAAGGCTTTAGATTTGTTAATTTCATTGCTAATAAACTCTGTCAATCTCTCTTTCTAAGTCTTGAATTTCACATCATCATCCAATAAAGCATTTACTTCTTTCAATAATTCTGGTTCTTCACTTAACATTTATCCCAATTATTCTTTAGCTGCTTTACTATTTTAATTAACAATATTAGAAAATTGTCTAAAATTCATATTAATTCTAACTTATAGAGCTATTAATTGGTTCGTCTTAATTTTTAACAAAATTGTTCACATCTTTCATAAAGTTATTAATCAAAGTCCTAGATTATAAATTTAATTGAAAATATACATCTCCGAATTCACCAACATTGCTTCTACTCAATATATCCTCACTCATTTAATTATCTTATATAAAATATAATTAAAATATTTAACAACTTATTATTAGGAATAAAATATAATTTCAAAAGAAAACAAAAAATGTTTTTAAAAAATGATACAAATATATGAAATAAAAATTGATAAATTGTAATTTGTAAAAAATGTAAAATAATTTAAAATATATAGAGAATATAAATGGAATGATAAAAAAAGTATAATGTGTGCATATGCACTAATGTTAAATAAATTTTATAATGAATGATCTTTTGATTAATTTAAAATAAATGAAATAAAATAAATAAAATATACTTAAGGTTATCCGCAAGAGTAATTTTAAATCTCTAATGTCCTATAGGGCCTTGGACTGATGAAGAGGATCTAAGGGTAATTGAATTAGTTTAAGAATTTGGTCCTTAAAAATGGACGTAAATTGCTTAATAATTAGAAGGAAGAATAGGTAAATAATGTAGAGAAAGGTTATAAATAAAAAGTTATTGATAGATGGCATAATCATTTGAATCCTTTAATAAAGAAAACTCCTTGGGAAGAAGATGAAGAATGGATTTTATTCCTATATCATAAAGCATTAAGTATGATGCTCTATAATAGATTTAGGTAATAAATGGGCAGAAATAGCCAAACATATTAAAGGGAGAACAGATAATTCTATCAAGAACCATTGGAATAGTGGTATGAAAAAGAGGATGTCAGAATTTTAAATGAAGTTGAGTTAAATTAAGTAGAAATTTTAAAGAGAAGGGTATTTTACAAACCTTAAATAAGAATTTCAATTTTGAATGATTATGATCCATTATTAAAAAAAGCACTTGAGATAATCTTAATGAATAAATAGTATAAGAGTATTACTACTGAATCTTCTGAAAGTGATGATGTTTCACATCCTACCAAATAATCTAAGAAGAATTAACAAAACAAAGAATTAATAGAGGTTTAAAGAGAATAATTACTTAAAAGAGAAAATGATGAGATTATAGAATAAAACTATGTAAGCAATCAAGAATAAGAATTGAGTAATAGGTGATTTTATTATTATATAATATATAGTGTCAATTCATTCTAATTACTAGCTACTTCTAAGAAGAAAAATAAATTCCAATATGAAGAAAATGGTATCATAGATTATTGAAATCCAATCTATCAACAATTTTGAAACATTAAAAATTAATATTATAATTTTCCTAAAACTATTTAAAGATTATTATTTATTTATTTTCATTTAACTTCTTCACTTATGTATCTAGATCTATACCTACGAGGAGATTGTTATTTTTCTTGCAATTTGTTATCAATTATTTATTGCAAGAAATAAGCCACATGAGAATAAAAATCTTCATTCCATTCTTTTTCTATATATTTTGAACATTTTTTTATTTCTTATTCTGATCCTACTCTAACTAATTTTTTATCTGATGTTTATATTCCTTAATTATCTTTAATCAAAGTTTCATTTTAAACAATTTCATTTTCATCAATTTTTTCTAATTTTATTAATGGTTTAATTTATTTAACTTTTTCTTGTTTTTATAAACTAGATGAATCAAATTCTAAAGATTTTTAAACTAAATTATTTGAAAATATTTTATCATTAAAATTAGAATATCCTTTTGGTACTCTTATATTATTACTATTTATAAATATATATTAATATACTCGTAATTATGCTAGGCTTTACTAATAGCTATTTCAATAGGTGATAATTCATCTGGATCTTCTCTATATAAAATTTCACTATAAAATAAATAATTTTATATACGAAATATCATGGATAGTCAAATCTGCTTATGTACCAAGTTTTAATAAAGTTGTAGAAATTCTAGTATTTCTTAAACAAATTTCTCTTAATTTAACTTTCTCTCTTAAGATTTAAACATCTTTAATTGGATCTATTTTATCAATAAAATATTTTTCTTCTTGAGTAAATTATTAAGTCATTTATCCCCAATGATACCAAACCAGTTCATCTCTACAAATTTTAAAAGAATCTGGAAATGCATAACCATGATCAATAGGTATAAGAAAATAATCATATGCTTATCTAGTTTATCCTTGTGGTTATTTTATCTTTCTATAATAATATAAGATTAATAAGTATATACTTTTTTCTAACTAAAATATTTTCTTCATTTCTATCACAATTTAAAATTCTAATATCTAAAATAGCTATTTTTCTAGCTTCAAGAGAAGGGAATAACCTACTTCCAAAATTTCCAACATTATCATCATGTTTAACATATAATTAAAATGATCCCTCTTTAATTGGAATCTTCTCATATTAAAATTATTTATATTCTTCAGCTTCATGAAATGCAGAATGACAAATTTAAACATAATTAGTAAGAGGAACTAAATTATATATTTTCATAAATTACCATCATGATAATGTTAAGATGATTAATCTATCAAATATGTTGCTACTTCTCTATCAACTCCTTCTCCTGATAAAATACCTTATCTTAATCCTGGAGAATTCATTTTAGCTCTCATACCTCTTGGATTATTTGGACTATAAATTCTTATTTAAAAATCTACGCAAATGCTTCCTCATCATATGGTTTAAAAATAGCAACTGGTTTATGATTTTAATCCTCCAATATATATGTTCCTTAAGTACCAAATGCTGTTAATTTTGGTGTTATTCCTGTCATAAATGCGCCTTCTACTGCCCATTTTGCATTCTAAAATTCTTCTTAAGTTTTCTTTGATTCTTCCAAAATATTATGAATACTGTTGATAAAATATAATTATTCTCCCTATTTTCTAGCCATTAATTTAAGAGTGACATGATTTTTTATCCCATATTCCTTTCATTTTATTAATTTATTTTACTTCTAGATCTTATTTATTTAAAGAAAGTTCTTGATTTTTATAAAGAATTCTTATATTAGCTAAATCTAATTTAGTTATTTCATTTATCTTCTTTTTTAATATTGAAATTTTCATCCAACTATACATTTTTATTGTAAAATCATTTCCTTTCTAAACTTAATTTGATATATGCAACACTAATTCTTATTAAGTACGAGGATCATAAGGATTTGAAGAACAAAAGCCGAAACCTCATTTTAAAATTAAATAAATACTTTCTAATTTCCTTTTGTTCAATCCTTATCTCATTTATTTCTAATCTTCAATTTGTATTATAATTAATCTTTTTAGTTAAATATATATAATGATATATTCAATAATATTTTTCTTCCTTAAATAAGTTTTCTACTCTACCATCTGGATATGAAATCTCTATATTCCCATTAGGATATTCAATATACTTAACTTTATTTATATCTACTTTTTAAAATATTCCATCACTAAATAATGTCTCTTCTTCCCCATTTGGATATATATATTTTTTAGTTCCATCAGAGAATCTTATTTGTTTTTCTCCATTTTAAAAATGAATTTCTATTTAATTATTACAAAATCGATAAATCTAAATAATTATTCAATTATAATACTTATAATCTATTTTAAATTGTTATTTATGTTGTTTTAGCTTTACCAAAATAATAAATAATAGTTCCATTTGGTAATGTTTATTTTTTGTCATTGTTTGTATAATGAACTATAGTAAATCCATTTGAAAATATCTCTCTTTTAACTCCATTATTATAAAATACTTCTTTTTTTCCACTTTAATATGTTCTTGAAATCTTGTCATCCTCAGATAAATTTTATTAAATGATTTTATCATCATGTTTTAAATATTCTAAATACTCTTCATAAAATTTATTATTTTGAAATTCAAATTATGATTCATCTATTTAATTATTAATAATATCTATTGAAATATTTGGATGATTTTTTAATTGAACTATATCAATTTCTATCTTCTCTTACTCATAACTATCTCCATCTTAATAACTATTTTCATCTTCTCCATTCTAAGAATCGAATTCATCTTTTTCTTTAATAAATCCTTATTTATTATGCATTTAAGCATATGAATTTATTTTATTGTCTGAAGCATATGATTCTTTTGTTGAATAATTACTTGATGTAGTAGATTATACAATGTTTTTATTTATATTATTAGTGCAATTATTTTAATTACTGTTCATCTTTTATATCTATAACTATGATTTCTCTAATTAAAATTTTAATTCTTTTATCTCTTCATTTTATTTAGCCACTCTTTTTCTTAAGCAATCTAACTCTTCTAATTATTTTGTTGTTAATTATTATTACCTTTACTATTAAATTGTATAATGTTTTTTTGTTATTCTTTCAACCTTTCTCTTCTCCTCTTCTTTCCATTTTTCAAATTCCTATTTATCCTATTCTAATTATTTTTGTTACTAAATTTTCTATTTCTATAATTCCTTCTATTGTTACTCTAATAACTATTTCTCTTTCTTCAAATCAATTTTATCTTCATTTTATTCAATAATGGTTTCATCATTTTTTTATTGATCCAATTACAATTATGAATCAATCACTTTTTATGTACATTATTTACCTTTACCTTTCTATAAGAAATTAATAGGTAATTTTTTTTGTTGTTATTAACATTATTATTATTATTATTGTTATTATTATTATTATTATTATTATTATTATTGTTATTATTCTTATTGTTATTATTATTATTATTATTATTATTATTATTATTATTATTATTATTATTGCTATTGTTATTATTACTATTATTTTTATTATTTTTATTATTATTTTTATTATTATTATTATTGTTATTATTATTATTGTTATTATTATTATTAATATTATTCTGCTGCATTTTCATTATTCATTTTCAAAATCTCTTGATGCTCTCTCTTTGATAATTCAGATCTTGTTTAAGCATTAGATAAATATTATCTTGCTCCCTTCTTTAGGAATTCTTTCTTATTCTTTTTCACCTATTCTACAACTATACCCTAATCTTATAATAATTATTCAAATGGTTTCGATGCTCCTTTTATTGGTATCTCATCAAAGATGTTTGTATATTGATTTTATTAAGTTTAAGGTTCCTCAAGAAATTCATTAAAAAACAAATTCTATTAAACTTCTTGCTTTTATTCATAAAACTATTAATTTCTATTATCATTTTTCTCTTCCTTAACTTAATAATTGAACTTTCTATCATCCTCTTTTCATATACACATTTGTTACATATCGGAATATTCAACTGATTATAAAACTTTGACATCTCTTACATTCTACTTGTTAAAAACTCTTCCAAATTCATAATCTACATTAATTAAATTAAATATTAATAACATTTCTCTATCAATTATTATTTTATTTTTTTTTAAATATTATAACTAGTAATTTTAAGTTGATCCTTCCTATAAATTTGATATCTAATACTTTTAGAATTGAAGGTTTAGATTATTAAAAAACTTATAAATATTAAAACAAATCAAGAAAATATTAAGAATTTTGTTTTTACTACTATCTAGATAAATTTCTATTTTCTAATTTCTCATGAATTTCTCTATGATTTTTTATATTTCCTGCATCCTAAAGGCATTAAAAGTGGAAAAATAATAAAATAATCATCATCATTTTTTTATAATTCCAAAATGGGCTTTTTAGATTACTTTCTTCCTAAATAGGATTAATTAGTAAACTTCTTGAGATTTATCAACAACTTAAGCATACACCTTTAAGTAAACAAATCTAATAATATAATTAATTTGAGTATCAATTATATGTGAAATATTTTAAATTGAATTTTATATTATTAAGTTGTTACATATTTTGAACGATTAATTAATTTTTAGATTTTCAAACTTAAAAGTCACATGAGCAACAAATAATCAGCTAATACTTAAGAACTCTCTGATGAAGGTATTAATATTCAGCTCTATTCATTTAGAATTTATGAAACTTCATGCAAAATAATTCTATAGAACTCATGGATAATTGATTGGGAGTAAGTAATAGTATATTCCGATTCCAAAATAGTATAATAATAATGGAAAATTCACTGATGTAAAATCATTATATATTTCAGCATTTATTGATGGCTACCATGTATAGAAATAATAGTTTGAATACTACTTGTGATAAGGAACGCTGGATTAATGGTTCAAAAGATTGGATGGAACATTTATAATGATATTATAATATTCTAATTGCAATCTTAATCAATCATTTCATTCTTCTAATTGAAGAATAGTTCTAGCTTCTATAAATATTATAAATATTTTTATAAAATTAATACTAAATAATAATCTATAATATTAATATATAAAATATAATATATAAAATTAAGCAATATGTAAAAATGAAAATTAAATAAAAATACTTTCAAGATTGAAACATACATCCATCCAAAATATAATCTGATGGCATAGAATTTCCAATCTTTGTATCACTTATGGTTATTACATTTTTACCAGGTCTTTATAAAATCTCTCCACCACCTAATTTTATTAAATATTCGATTTCAGCTTTTGAAGGAGTTACATCGACTTTAACAAAATAATTTCCATTAAAAATTTTGACTATATTTTCATTTGTTTCAAAATAAGTATCCCTACTTTATAAAATTTATTATATGCTTAATCCAAAAGAATTTACAAATTCATCACTCTTAGGAATATAATCTTGGAAATTCTAAATCACTTTTCCTTATTTAAGAGAATTAGTCAACCAATCCAAAGTTACTATTTCAGCTCCAAGCATCAAAGCACTTAAAAATTTAAAAGTTCTTTTAGGAGGATTATTTAATATTAATANATCAATTATATGTGAAATATTTTAAATTGAATTTTATATTATTAAGTTGTTACATATTTTGAACGATTAATTAATTTTTAGATTTTCAAACTTAAAAGTCACATGAGCAACAAATAATCAGCTAATACTTAAGAACTCTCTGATGAAGGTATTAATATTCAGCTCTATTCATTTAGAATTTATGAAACTTCATGCAAAATAATTCTATAGAACTCATGGATAATTGATTGGGAGTAAGTAATAGTATATTCCGATTCCAAAATAGTATAATAATAATGGAAAATTCACTGATGTAAAATCATTATATATTTCAGCATTTATTGATGGCTACCATGTATAGAAATAATAGTTTGAATACTACTTGTGATAAGGAACGCTGGATTAATGGTTCAAAAGATTGGATGGAACATTTATAATGATATTATAATATTCTAATTGCAATCTTAATCAATCATTTCATTCTTCTAATTGAAGAATAGTTCTAGCTTCTATAAATATTATAAATATTTTTATAAAATTAATACTAAATAATAATCTATAATATTAATATATAAAATATAATATATAAAATTAAGCAATATGTAAAAATGAAAATTAAATAAAAATACTTTCAAGATTGAAACATACATCCATCCAAAATATAATCTGATGGCATAGAATTTCCAATCTTTGTATCACTTATGGTTATTACATTTTTACCAGGTCTTTATAAAATCTCTCCACCACCTAATTTTATTAAATATTCGATTTCAGCTTTTGAAGGAGTTACATCGACTTTAACAAAATAATTTCCATTAAAAATTTTGACTATATTTTCATTTGTTTCAAAATAAGTATCCCTACTTTATAAAATTTATTATATGCTTAATCCAAAAGAATTTACAAATTCATCACTCTTAGGAATATAATCTTGGAAATTCTAAATCACTTTTCCTTATTTAAGAGAATTAGTCAACCAATCCAAAGTTACTATTTCAGCTCCAAGCATCAAAGCACTTAAAAATTTAAAAGTTCTTTTAGGAGGATTATTTAATATTAATAAATCAAATTTCTCTAATTGATTATTAACAATTTCTAAACCTATTTATTTTAAATCATTTTTTTAAGGTATTTCATTTTATGAAAATCCACTAAATGAAATTAAATGTACAACTTTGTCTTACTTTTAAATTGTTTTTTTGTTTCCCCTTTTTTTTTTCATATTATTCTCATTTTGTTAAAATATTTTTGTTGCTGGCAACTCCATAGAATTAGTATGTCTAATCTATTATTTTTATTATACAGACTCTTCAGAGGTTTCATCTGAGATTTCATCTGTTATTTTTTTGAGAAGGGTTCCTTTCTTTAAATCACTTTTGCTTTATTTTTTTCCTTATTTCCAAATTTCTGAAGATTATTATTTTTAATTTTTGTTTTTATTTTTATTTTTGATTGGTGTTTAATCAAATTAATCCAAAGATTTATTCTTATCCTCTTATGTATCTTCATATTTAGTATTGAATATATTTGACTTAATTTAAGAGAACTTTTTTAATGTTTATTATGGTTAAAGTTAAATTTATTAATTTGGTATTTCAGGCAAACTTCCAAAAAGATCATTCAATTCTACATTTGAATAATTATTTTCTTATTTCATTTAAACATTATCTGATTAAACACTATTTAAACGTTTAAACTAAGATTATTCTTACTTTTCACTACTTTTATTTTATAATGAAGAATATGCTTTATCCAAGTCTTCATCAATCATTGTGCCTTTAATTTCTACTTTATTTTTCTAAAATTATGAGTTCTGATTATTATTATTATTATTAATATTTCCAATCTAGGAATCAAGAATAGTTTAATCTATTTGAGAAGGCTCTTATATTTATTTATTATTCATCTATGTTATTAATGAAATCTCTTTTTTAGACTTGAATAAATCACTAAATAATGTTCGAGTTTTTTATTATTAAGGTTCTACATCCATGCTTTCTGTTTATGTTGAAGAATCAATAGTAGATACAGAATTATGTTTTACCATTTAAGATTAACCTGAATACTGTGATATAAATTCATTTAAACTTGATACTGTAGGCTAATCAATATCATCTAAAATTAATGTTGAACTCACAAATGGATCTTAAGAACTTAGTACTTAAGTTGTTGAAATCTGTTAAGTTGTTGAAACTTGAACTTAAAATTATTATTATGGAACATCCAAAATATCATCTAAAGCCATTGTACCACTAAAATCTTCTAAGATTTATGTTGTTTGTAATGTGCATTAGTTATTTTGGATGATTGTATCAACCGAATTAATTAATTTGAACTTAAAGTTTTAAAAGTAGTAATTTCTGAGGGGGACCATCTCAATTATAAAATTTTTTGGAATCTCAACTTTTTGATCCTATTTTAAAGTTGCCTCTTTAAAAACTTAATCTGAATTGCTAAAATGAGTGAAATATACATCATTATCAATTAAAGCCTAATATTTACAATATGTATTTTTACCACGCAGAAAAGAACACTTTGAACATTTCTAATGAGATATTTACACTGTTTTGGATCACTACCAAACCTATTTTCTCCTTGTAACAATTTATATTTATAGATTTCTCTATCATTCTGATCAAGGACTTATATCATAAATTAATTAAGTGTACTTTAAAATTAATTGTAAAATTAATAATCACTCAAGAAAATTAATTCATTTTTTTCTTTTATCAGATCCAAACAATTTCTGTAAATTGGTTTGCTTATTAAATTATTAATTGGTAGTTGTTTTAGGATATAACATCTAAGATATTTATTCAGTCTTAATTCTATTATTCTAAAATTTAGAACTTTAATTTTGCGGCAAGGTGGGAGTCCTTTCAGAACTAAGTTACATCTTGGTAGAATCTATTGTAAATTTTAGATTCTATATTAGAAATAAAGAATACTCTTAAATCAGGATGTGAATTTTATTATTGCATTGTTTTAGAATAAGCATGACTTATTTTAGAAGATTAAATTAGAGAAGATGATTTATTATTTTAATCTTTTCTTTTAATAAAATCTTAAATTTCGGATTTGCCATAATATTTTTAAACTCTTCTTAAATCAGTATTTAAAACCTAAAAAAAATAAATGAAAACTAATACTTCAACTCTTTCTGGGGAATCCTACTTATAAGGTAAATCTTCTAAGTTAAGATGGTTAATATCGATCAAATTTGATCTTTTAGATTTATGCTCTGGTTTTTATGGAAGATCTTCTCTAGAAAAATAAAAATTCTTAAGAATGAGATTAGCAAAATTATCATTATTCTAAATGAATAAATATAAAAATTGTACATATTCTTTTTACAAATTGATATTGTATTATTTTCTAAATTCAGCATCTCCTTTATTAAATTCTTCTTCATCAAAATTATATTTCAAAGGTTCTGGTTTATAGGGAGGTTTGATTTTTTTATTAACTATTGCTTCAAAATCAGCATCCGCAAACCAAGGATGAGTTAGGATTTCAATAACTCCTTAAGTTTAACCAATCCTTTAAGAGGGTTCTTTCTCTAGTAACTAATAAATCAAGTCTTTTAATTAATCAGAGATTTAAACATAAGGAGGAAATTAAACTTGTTCAGTCAATATGGAATTATATATTTCTTAAGTATTATGAGAATAGAATGGTGGTAATCCTGTAACTAATTCATATAACAATGCTCCTAAACAATAACAATCAACTAAATAATTATGACCAGTTTTAAGTAACATTTCTGGTGCCATATATTCAGGTGATCCACAAAAAGAATAAGCAAAATCTTCTGGAGACATATTAGGTTTACTAAGTCCAAAATCACTAAGGAGTAGATGACCATGTAAATCTAAAAGTATATTCTCAGGTTTGATATCTCGATAAATTATATTTTAAGAATGTAAATATGCCATTCCTATACAAATTTCAACAAAGTAATATTTAGCATCTTATTCATTCAGTCTTTTCAGCTTTCTTAAATGATAGAACAATTCTCCTCCTGCACAATAATCCAAAACAAAAGCAATATAATATTTAGTTTCAAAAGCAAAATGCAAAGGTGTGATAAATTAATTATCCATCTTTACCATGATATCTCTTTCATTTTAAACTATAACTTCCTTTTGATTTTCCATTATGAAATTCTTATCAATCAATTTTAATGCATAAAATTTTCCATTATCTCTTTTTCTTACTAAATAAACTCTTGAAAATCCGCCTACTCCAATACATTTAACAAGCGTGAAATCTTTTAAGATAACTCTCTTGCCTGAAGTTGGTTATGAATATAATGGTTATAATTAGAGTGTAATTCCTTAAAATACCCCTAATGGTAAATTTGGAAGGCTTAGATAATAATCATAAGGAACATTCTTTTAGACACAATAAAATTAACATATTCTATTGATTTCTAAATCTAGTATTATAAATTATACCTAATTATATTTAATCTTCATCAGTTGATCCTGTCCCTCCTCCTAGTTTTACAAAAGATTTCTCAATACAAGCTATTTTATGAATCAAAAAATTATACAAATTATCAGTTGTTTAGTTTTGATAATCAAATAAATAATTATATCTAAATAATAATTATTATTATACATTACTTTTAGCTTTTATAAAATAATATTATTTTTAATTGCTTTCTTGGATCATAATGATTTGATTCTTCCCCCCTATTTACTTTTTTTATAGAGTCACTTCTTTATTGACTTGATTAATGTAGTTCAGTTGAGTCAACTCTCTTGATAACCTTCTTGGCATCACTCTTATTTTTAGTCAAAATATATTCAATAGATTATTTTAATGTTTCAGATTCTTGCAACAATGAATTTTTGTTTTGTTTTACGTTGAAATATTGCTGATATTCCAAATAATGATTATTTTTATATTGTTTTGCACTTTTTATTTATATATCCTGAAAATATTGATCTACTGTAGATTTTGGCATTTTGTAAGTGTTTTAAGGTGTCTAATTGATTTTACTTTGTTTATTAGCTATCTTCTACTACTTTGTTTCCATCTGTATTGTAGCAAGGGACAAATTCTTTCCCTTGAGAATTTATCTTTTTAAGTTATTTCCTTCTTCTGTATGAATCCTTTGATCAAGAGACAAAGGAAATTGATGAAATTAAGCATTGAGAGTTTTGAGTCGCTCACTCTTCTCACTATTTAAATTGTCAATTGATCGATTTTATTGAAGTTAAGTTTTAATACTATTAGTTACTTAGGTGAGAGTATTTCGTTCTTTTTTAAAGTATTCCAATAAGTCTTGTTTAGGGTTTTGGCCAGTTGTTCTTTCTGTTTTAGCTATTTTGGAGTTACTTTTTTTAGGTTTTAACTCCATATAATATGGAGCATCTTGTATACTTCCTCTTCCACTTGAATATAGTGGGGGTGATGCATAATTCTTCATTAACGATATTTATATATTTAATTATAAAGTTAATTTTTTTAATTTTATTATTATTATTATTATTATTATTATTATTATTATTATTATTATTTATATTATGAGTTACGAATAATCTGTCGATGGATTCTTTCTCAGAAATAACCCTCCCTTACTTTAGAAAATGGCTTAAAATATGCCAAGCTCTGAGTTAGACTATTTGTTTCTAACTAAAGAAAGGTAAAAACAGAACTAATAATAAAAATAATAAGATTATTTTTAGGAAATTGAAATACCTAACTCAATTACTAAAAAACTAAATCAAAAATTACCAGATAAAATTTAAGATTAAAGTTGTATTATTCTCAAAAGAGAAAGCTTTAGA